AAGACTTGGAATCAACCCAAATATCAATGATAGACTGGACAGGGAAAATGTGGCACATATACACCATGGAATACTATGCAGCCATAAAAAATGATGAGTTCATGTCCTTTGTAGGGACATGGATGAACTTGGAAACCATCATTCTCAGCAAACTGACACAAGAACAGAAAATCAAACACCTCATGTTCTCACTCATAGGTGGGTGTTGAGCAATGAGAACACATGGACACAGGGAGGGGAGCATCACACACTGGGGTCTAATGAGGAGAAATAGGGGAGGGACAGCAGGGTTGGGGAATTGGGGAGAGATACCATGGGGAGAAATGCCAGATATAGGTGATGGGGAGGAAGGCAGCAAATCACACTGCCATATATGTACCTATGCAACAATCTTGCATGTTCTTCACATGTACACCAAAACCTAAAATGCAATAAAAAAATAAATAAATAAAAAAGATACAATGCTGTAATTCTATGACCATGTAAATGATAGTCATTCCTGGGCTATACAGAACTTTTTTTCCTTTTTTTTTTTTTTGCAATGGAGTCTCACTCTGTCACCCAGCCTGAAGTGTAGTGGTGTCATCTCAGCCGGGTTCAATTCCCCTGCCTCAGCCTCTTGAGTAACAAGGATTACAGACACCCGCCACCACACTGGACAAATTTTTGTATTTTTAGTAGAGATGGGGTTTCACCACGTTGGCCAAGCTAGTCTTGAACTCCTGACTTCAGGTGATCCACCCACCTCAGCCTCCCAAAGTGCTAGGATTACTGGTGTGAGTCACAGCACCTGGCCTATGCAGAACATTGTTATTTGTCTGTACACAAGGATAAAACTTAAATTTTCAAAGTGAGCACACTAGGCAACCATTGCCCCACTCTAGAAATAGAACAGTAAAACAGAAGCTCCCAACACCTTATGATCCTCCTGTCAACCCTGTCCTCAGTAATCAACCTGCTATAAATCACTGGTCCCCAACTTTTTTGGCACCAGGGACTGGTTTTGTACAAGTTTCTTCATGGACATGTGGGAAAGATGGCTTTTGGATGAAACTATTCCACTTCATTACATTATCATAAGGAATGCGCAATCTAGATCCCTCGCATGCAGTTTAGGATAAGGTTCATGCTCTTGGGAATCTAATGCTGCTGCTGATCTGACAGGAGGCGGAGCTTAGGTGATGTATTAGTCCTCTCTCACACTGCTATAAAGAACTGTCCAAGACTGGGAACTTTATAAAGGAAAAAGGTTTAATTGACTCACAGTTCCGCAAGGCTGGCAGTTTCACCCATGATTCAATCACTTCCACCTGGTTTCTTCCTTGACATGTGGGGATTATGGGGATAATTCAAGACGAGATTTGCATGGAGACACAAAGCCTAACCATATCAGGTGGTAAGGCTCACTTGCCCACATTGCACCTCCTCCTAAGTGGTCCGATTCCTAATGTACTAATCCATGGCCACGGTCCAGATCCATGGCCTGGGGTTGTCAACCCCAGCTGTAGATGGCTTTTGCCTGTTCCTGAAATGTAGATACATACATATTTTTGTGGGGTATCTGGTTTCTTTTACTATTTTCTAGCTTTTTGAGATGAAAGCTTAGATCATGACTCATCTTCAATCTTCTTTGTCTAATATTAGTTAAAACTATGTATCTTTTGTTAGCTGCATTTGGCAAACGTTTGTGTCACATTCATTATCGTTCATTACAAAATAGCTTTATATTATGACATATTTTTATTCCTAATTTTTCTCCTTTGTATTGTGTTCAATATGTTCCTTACAGCAGTCCTTAGAAATTTGCTGATACTTTTATATATCCTAAACAATAGCTGCAGTTGAAATAATCACCTGATTAGCTGATAAGAGTTATTCTCCAAGATTTAGCAAACATCTGTATAGGCTAAACAGATATAATAGGAGCCTCTATCCTCAAACTTTCAGCATTTTGTTCTTTGAGACAGGGTTTCCCTATGCTGCCCAAACTGGAGTGCAGTAGCTATTCATGGGCATGATAGAGCATACTGCAGTCTCTAACTCCTGAGCTCAAGCTATTCTCCCACCTCAGTTTACCAAGTAGCTGGAACCATAGGCCCACACCATCACACCCAGCTCATCTTTCAGGATTTTTGATGATGACCTCTCCAATTTTCCTGGAGATGTAGCATTGTTGTGTTTTACTATCCTGGCCTCTACTTGGCCCTTGTAATGGTCAGGGAACCAAAGTGGAAATTCTGACAGTAGTCAAGGATGTCACTCTCAAATATACACACACAGAATAAGAAAAATCAGCATAGGATATGTCCAAAGGCTTAGTGAGCTGCCTAAGAGACAAGCTAGGGTTCAAATTCCAGTTATCACCTGACCTAAAAGCCAACTGCCACTAGCACAGTCACAGACTTAAGCCTCATAGTTCACTACTTCTGGTTTAATATGTATTTAACCCATCCATTGAATTTTTAATTTCAAGTTTTCTTTGTAACTATAAATTCTATTTTGGACGATTCCTAAGTATCTGCCCAATTTTTACTTTAAAATTTTAATAAAGATAGGATCTTACTATGTTGCCCAGGCTACAGTGCAGTGGCTAGCCACAAGTGTTCATCACAACAATTCTGGCCTCAAGTAATCCTCCTGCTTCAGCCTCCCAAATGGCTAGGATTATAGGCACATGCCACAGCACACAGCTGCCCAATTTTTATAAACCTGCCATTTGACCATTTTTGTTACCCTTTTATTACATTATACATATTAAACAATCATTTCAATTTCTATATCTGATAACCCTGGATCTGCCATCTTTGTAGAGTTTATACTACAATTTGTTTCTGCTTTTGTTTATGGTGTCATCTCTTTTGGCAGAATAGGTTTGTTTCTTGGCTCCATCTCTGAAGACAAGACTTCCACTTCCATCTCCCAATCAGAATCATGTTTCATGGTAAGCTCTAACTGCGGACTTGTAAGCCTCCATAGTTGAAGAAGATGAGAGTTCTGGGGATGAGGGTTGAAAGAGTATCAGCATGCAACAGAGAAAGGCAAATGAGATCCATGTTGCTGCTTATGGGATTGGTGGCAAAAGACTAGAAGGTTACAACAGAACTCTGTTTTAGAGCAGGAGTTATGCAAGGGAACCCAGACCTACCTATACTCTTCTGGCTCTTATAACTCCAAAATGTAACAGGAACCCTTATTCTCAGGAAGTGGACTTTAGTAGTGATGCCCTGTGAATGCTCTCCAAACAAATCTCAGTCACGGTGCTGCAGGCATAAACACAGGGGATCTTGAAGGTTGTAGAACTACCACTGCCTGCCAGGTTCTCCCTACAGCTGCCACCTATAACTTGCTCTTCAGGTAACTTAACACACTTAGAGTAGCAATCAGCCAATAAATTAGAAATCTATAAAAGATTGAAGCTGACACAGGGAAAGAAAAAATATCACTTAGTCAAAATTTATTTCAAGGCCTGAAAACATCCAGACTAATCAAAATGGTACTACTGTAACTTCTTATAAAAGTTTTTGAAAAATATAGACACAATTAACCCTTCAAACACCACACGATCCGATTCTCAGAAGCAATGGCTATCTAACGAGATGTAAAGGGACAATAACATAACAACGAACTTTCACACACCTAAAGAGAGCATTTAGTAGCAAGCTATTCAGACAAAACACAAACATTTTCACATTTCCCATGTTTGTTAACTTTACTTCATAAAGCCACTGATAACCAAAGTTTCTTTCAAGTATAGGATTTCTAACATTATAAACTGTGTTTCTGACATTTATAAAGAAATAAAAAGTAAAACACAATCCAACTGTATTTATGAGTCCCTCTTCTCCAACAGCTTTAGATGTTTTTCTGAATACTTTTTACACAAAATAAAGTCTTTTATTAAAATCAGTTCTAATTCATTTATGCAGATTAGGGAAAAATGATTCATAATCAATTAACTTTAAAATTACCCTCTATGTTTCTATCTTCATCCCCCTATCACCACCAAATCTGTTGCTACAGTGGGCAACGATGCAATATACTGTTTGAGAGGGCCCAAAGGAATCTGTAATCTTAATTTCCCACATATTAGTTAGTTGGAGGAAAAATCCACCGTATGAAGACTATTTAAGTAAAACTTTATGCTTTCACCTCAAGCTACAAGTACTTTTTAGACTAGCATTAAATTATATTGCACTTATACAGCTACACAGCTACACCAGTTTAGATTTGCCTTGGAACAAAATTAATTTCAAGGCCTTAAATATTAAAAATAAATAATTTTCTGACTATTTCATAGTTTAATTGGCTCTTAGTTTTGCTAGTGAGGGATACATTTTGTGTTCTTTAAGAAATTGGTACATGTAAACCTAAAGATGAAGTCTGTTTTGTTTTTCCTGAAAAAGGAAAAAAGAACCAAAGAAAAATGTTGAAGAACATTTTTGCCTTTTAAAAAGAAGCATTATCCAACAAAAAGGAGACATACAGATTTTTTTGAGACGGAATTTTGCTCTTTCTAGCCCAGGCTAGAGTGCAGTGATGCAATCTCGGCTCACTGCAACCTCCTCCTCCCAGGTTCAAGGGATTCTCCTGTCTCAGCCTCCTGAGTAGCTGGGATTACAGGTGCCCGCCACCACCTGTAAAGAAGCATTATCCAACAAAAAGGAGACATACAGATTTGAAAACACTTATTTCACTGCCTTCAACAACAACAAAAAAAAACAGGGGAAGTCCAGAGGACTTAGAACTGAAGTAGCTCTACACAAAATGAAAATGGTACAATGATGTGACTTCAAAGAAAATGACTAAAACAAAATTTCACAAACATCTTCATGTTTGTAATGTATTAATGCACAAAATACCAAAAATACAAAGTCTGGGTTTCTTCCCTGTAGGTTTATCATAAACTATCAATTTTCTATATAATGCATTTCCTTTTTGTTTTGTTTTTTTATAGAGATGGGGTCTCGCTATGTTGTCCAGACTGGTCTTGAACTCAAGCAATCCTCCCACCTCGGCTCCCTAAGTGCTGGGATTACTGGCACAAGCCACTGCACTTTGCCTTAATGCATTTACTTTTATAAGCCTTCTTTGTTTAGAAGTATACACTACACAATTACATACATGCTGGTATTTTACCGTGAAAATTTCGTATTTCATCCCAAACTAGTGACTTGCCTTTTTACCCATGCTTATACACAAGTAATACCTTTCTAGTGGTACATTTTAATCAATATGTATTTTTTAAATCTTGATTTTTAAACAAATATTTTTAGTGCTATGACATGATGGGCTTCATTTAACAGTTGAAGCATGATATGGTAACTACATTGTACTGTTTAATTCACAACTGCAGGAAAGTGTTTGATTCTTAAAACATAACGAAGATGAGAACGGACAGTAATAAACCCAGAAACACTAGAAAACAGTGAATGAATAAATACAATTTTTCATCAGTGGCCATTCATTGTTTTGCTTTTGGAAACCTGGAAGAAATTGTCTTCTTTGATTTTCAAATGTTCTGGTAAATCTAGTCGTTTCTTAGCTTCCTCAATATCACCTTGAATTGCTGAAATAAGTGACTCTGCAGAAAGAATATACCAGATAAAAATGATGAAAAACTGTTAACATACTTTTTACTAGTCCTGTTTAGCCTCTCCTAAAAAATCACAGGCTGGTAGTATCTCTGGCACAGGGTAGATACCCAGTAAATGTTTGTTCCATCACTCCTTCCACACCTAAGTCAATGTTACACAAAAGACATGTCCCTAGGCGGGGCGTGGTATCTCACATCTGTAATCCCAGCACTTTGGGCAGATCACCTGCGGTCAGGAGTTTGAGACCAGCCTGACCAACATGGTGAAACCTCATCTCTACTAAAAACAGAAAAATTAGCTGGATGTGGTGGCGGGCACCTGTAATCCCAGCTACTCAGGAGGCTGAGACAGGAGAATCCCTTGAACCTGGGAGGAGGAGGTTGCAGTGAGCCGAGATTGCATCACTGCACTCTAGCCTGGGCTAGAAGGAGCAAAATTCCATCTCAAAAAAAAAAAAGATATGTCCCTAATCTTATAATTTAAAAGAAAGGCATAGGCAAAAATATTAAATGGAGGAAACTGCAAATATCAAATGGAGGAAACAAGCATTCATTACTCTTTTTGTTTGGTATTTATACTTGTAAAAGAAACTTTACAAGAGTTAAAAGTATCACACTACACTAAAAGATACCTGATAACATTTGTTTCAAATGTTCTCTGACTTACTGTATCTCAAATACCACACATTTTGAAAGACTTCATTAACTTCTTACTGCTGGAGAGAAGCAGCCAGCCTGCTAGGTTGGAAGCTAGGCTCCCTTACTTACTATATGACTTTGAGAATGTTAATCTCTCTGTGCCATTTCCTCATCTGAGAAACAGGCAAAATAATCCCTCACAGGTAAAAGAAGATAAATTCATGTAAAGCACTTAAAACGGTGCCTGTCATATGTTAAATGCTCAAATGTTATCTGTCCTGCCATTATTTATTACTGGTAGTAGCAGTAGAGGTACCTGCGGGAGCAGTAGTGATATTTAAGAAGATTAAAATAAGAACTTACCTAAAGAATCAAAGTTCTTTTCTGGTCTGAGGTAGCCAACAATGGCCACATTGAGGATTTCCCCATAGAAGTCCTCTTTGAAGGTATGCATGATATGTGTTTCCTATAGTCAAGAAATGTTAAAAAGAGTGCTATCAGATTACAGTGTACCTGAAATCTGAAATATATCTTCATGTTTATGGTGGGTTAATTTAAATGAAACAATCAACACTCCTTACATTTTTAATTATTTAGGTTAAAATCTAGGTGCAGTTTTCCCTAAATTTTCCCAGTGCTCCTATTTTTGCCCTAGTCTTATAAACCTGAGTGAGGTGGCAGCATCTGGCACGATTTGCTGTTACTTACAAAAAAAAAAACCTGACATGTATCCAAGGAAGTAAACATCTTATCAAGGTGAGAAAACAGGACACCAAAGAGGGAATGAGAAAAGTATTAAAAGATGTTACTACTAAACAATTAGTTGTAAGGTCAGTCAGGTCTGCACATCTCTGACACACTACAAGCATGGAAACTTCAGAGTTTGGCAGAGCTGAGAACTGATGGGGCAGAAGAGCCATGCAGCTTCCTGATCAGGGAGCGAAGTGGCAAAAGGGCATAGGGCATGTTAAAGCAAAATGCTGCATGAGGTACAAAGTGCCTTAGAATCTAGTTCAGCTAAATCATCTGGGCAGTATTGTGGTTAAGAGCACTGATTTAGAGTCAAAAGTCTGGATTCCCATACCTGTTTAACTAGCTTTTGTGGGGCTTAGTTTTCTCGTCTGTAATGGGCAGGGGGCAGTTTGAGTTAGAAGATACATAAAGTGCCCCATGGCTTTGGGGCTATGAACCAATATATTTGACGTGTACTCTTTCTTTTCAGTAAACATTTGAATAATAAAAAAGAAACTAAGATATTTAAGACCAGCCAGGTGCAGAAGCTCATGCCTGTAATCCCAGCACTTTTGGGAGGCCGAGGAGGGTGGATCATTTGAGGTCAAGAGTTCAAGATCAGCCTGGCCAACACGGTAAAACCCCATCTCTACTAAAAACACAAAAATTATCAGGCCATGGTGCTGCATGCCTATAGTCCCAGCTACTCAGGAGGCTGAGGCAGAAGAATTGCTCAAACCTGGGAGGTGGAGGTTGCAGTGAGCAAACATCACGCCATTGTACTCCAGCACTCTAGCCTGGGCAACAGAGCGAGACTTCGTCTCAAAAAAAAAAAAAAAAAAAGATATGCAAAACCATGACACTGACAATTACAAGACATTGAGAGAAATGGCAAACTTCCCAAACTAATCTACGAAGTCAATGCTGCCCCAATGAAAATCCTAGTGAGTTTTTAAAAATAGGAGAACCTGACAAGTGATTCCAAAATGTATATGGAAAAGCCAAAATTATCCAAGAAAATCTTAAGAACAAAACTAGAGGGCTTAGACAACTAGATATCAAGATCTATGATAAGACAAGCAGACCAAATATGTATGAGTGTATTTTTGGATTCACACACATGTGAAGTCACTTGATTTATGTCCCAGGTAATAGTGCAGCACTGTTGTGAAAGGATGGTATTTTCAATGAATAAGCAGGTCAATTCTACATCCATAAGGAAAAAAGTATTAATTTTAATCTCTACCAGATACCATACTAAAAAAAAAATCAATTTGAAGATATGTCAGTTAATTAAGCTTTTAGAAAAAAACCACAAACAAGTACCTCATGACTTTGGAGTAGGCAAAGATAAAGCACTAGCTATTAAAGAAAAATCTTCAATTAGATTATATTAAAAATTAAGAACCTCTAGGCTGGGTGCAGTGCTCATGCCTGTGATCCCGGCACTTTGGGAGGCTAAGGAAGGAGAATTGCTTGAGCCCAGAAGTTTGAACCCAGTTTGAGTAACAGGCTGAAACCTCATCACTATAAAAAAAAATTAAAAATAGCCAGGCATGGTGGCACATGCCTGTGGTCCTAGCTATTCGGGAGGCTGTGATGGCAGGATCGCTTCAGCCCAGGAATTTATAGAGGCTGCAGTGAGCTGAGATTGCATCATTGTACTGCAGCCTGGGTGACAGAGCAAGACCCTACCTGAAGAAAAAAAAAAAAAAAACCTCCATTCAATACACCACTGACTTTAAGAAAAAAAAAAAGCAACATGATGAAAGAAATTTGTAATACAGTACACAGTTCCTACAAAGAAAGTGGATCTAGTTGTGTCATGAAGAACTTATTTAAGGTCAGTAAGACAACACCATTTTTTAAGGGCAAAGCACTTGCACAGGCAGTTCACAAATGTCCGTTACTGGCAAAGGCAAGCAAAAGTTCAATTTTCCACTGGTAAGCTATGCCTAGATTTCAAATTCAATTTTTCCTAACACTCAAAAGGCATTTGTTAACTGGCTCTATTATAACATTTTTGTTATCAGAGTAGCTAAAGAAAAATTAGTCATGGGATATTGTCCCCTCCCCTTCTTTTCCTTCCTCATTCATCAGTAAAGTATTTTGTGATCTTTCCATGGTTTTCTTTGTCTCCAAACAATAACTTTCAAATCACTAATACTCAAAAATAACTGAAATACTGAGCAAAATGTTAAGCAGTTCTGGGTCACTACTATTGCTTATACCAGCATTTAACTCCATAGTTTTCCAACAGTGACACACTTCACTTCTATTAACTCCATGCAGAACAAAATTTAGATTAACTGTATTTTGCTTTTGCCACACATTTGAGCTGACAAAAGGTTCAGCCAAATCTAACAGATAAAACACTGAAGTTGTGTGGGTCCTGTAAAAAGAGTAGGGCAGAAAAGTATACCATACCCTCAGGTGGTTTAAAAAGGAAAGAGAAAAGCACCAATGAGGGACTATATCAATAAGCACCATCGAGGTAATACCCTGTTTTATCTTAAGAGGGTGACCAACTAATTGATGTATGAAGTAAATGATAAATGAAGTGCACTAATTGTGGCAAGCTCAATTTTATGAAATATGCTTTTAAATCATTTTTATCTTCGGTAAAGTGAGTCTTTCATAGACAGCAATTATCAAAGTCAGTATTATAATTTTGGTTTTTAACTCTATTTTCTACATAATTTTAAAAACAAATGCATAAAAAAATTATTAATCTTTGTTATTGGGTACCATAATATATAAGGATATAATCTGAGCTGGATGCAGGCCGTGGCATGCACTATAATCCCAGCTCTCTGGAGGCTGAAGGAGGAGGATTACTTGAGCCTATGAGTTTGAAGCTACAGTGTGCTACAACCTGGCCTGTGAATAGCCAACTGCACTCCAGTCTGGAAAACATAGTGAGACCTTATGTTTTAAAAAAGAAAAAAAAAAGGATGCAATTTGTGAGTTCTGTATGCTATTGAATTTAAGTTGGTTTAAACTCGAATTAAACTTCTAGAATTTCAGGATGTTAAATATAAATCCCATGGTAACCACAAAGACAGTATCTATAGAAATACATAGAAAGTAACGAGAAAGGAAATTAAAATGTCACTACAAAAAAAAAATTAAAACTACTACAAAGGGCAGTAATAGAAGAAGTGAGGGACATAAAAGTTGTAAGGCATATAAAAAACAAATAGCAAAACAGAAGTCCCTCCTTATCAGTAATTACTTTAAATGTAAATGAATTAAACTCTCCAATTAAAAGGCAGAGATTGCCCAAAATTCCAGTATTTGAACCACGTTGTGATTACCACTGATAAGCTATTTCTTCATCTAATGCTATAATACGTTATTCTGACTTTGAGTCTAAGTCATCATACCATTTTCAGTTACAGAAACAAATATAACGCTTACCATGGATTTCTTCGTATTCTTGTAGTATGGGTTCCAGCCGATGCTCACCACCATCTTATGGACATCTCCACTTCCAACACTAGCCCAACCATAATAAATGCCAGTGGATATATCAGCTGGAAGATTATCTACCACTTGCTCAGGAAAATTAGCTAAACAACAGAAGTAAATATTTTGAGTATTATAAATTCTGTATTAAATGTCTGTAGCCAGGTGCAGCGGCTCACGCCTGTAATTCTAGCACTTTGGGAGGCCAAGACAGGAGGCTCATGTTAAGCTCAGGGGTTTGAGACCAGCCCGGGTAACGTAGTGAGATCCTGTCTCTACCAAAAAATAAAAAAATTAGCTGGGCATAGTGGCCTGCACCTACAGTCTTAGCTACCAGAGAGGCTGAGGCAGGAGGGTCACTTGAGCCCAGCAGATGGAGGCTGCAGTTAAGTTATGATCGCATCCCACCATTGCACTCCAGCCTGGGTAACAGAGCCAGGCTCTGTCTCAAAATAATACTAATAACAAAAACCAAACACTGGTAAAAATCACATGCAAAGCTAATAATGTAAATCACTACATTCACAAGACTCCTACAACTCTGTCTATAATTATCAATCCCATCTCTTCCATTTTCCGGCTCAGATTTCCCTCTCCTATCCACATGATTAGGTTATAAATAAAGTACCAGGTAAGTGTATAAAGCTCTCCAAAAAAAAAAAACAAACAACAACAACAAAAAAACCCACACTCTTGGAGTAGGAGGAAAAAAACAAGTACCAGAATAGATGGATTTTTTTTCAAATCTGTTCTTTCCTAACCAGGTAATTGAAGTTTTGTTTTTGTTTTTGTTTTGAGACAGTCACCCAGGCCGGAGTGTAGTGTGGCATGATTTCACCTCACTGTAGCCTCCATCTCCCGGTTCAAGCGATTCTCCTGCTTCAGCCTCCTGAGCAGCTGGGATGACAGGCACACGCCACCATGCCCGGCTAATTTTTGTATTTTTAGCAGAGACGCGGTTTTACCATGTTGGTCAGGCTGACCTCAAACTCCCGACCTCAGGTGATCCACCCACCTTGGCCTCCCAAAGTGATGGATTACAGGCGTGAACCACGCCCGGCCAGTTTCTTCTTATTGAAATACCCCAGCCGAGGCCCCCAGATCAAGGCTGACTTCAGTCAACACGCAGCCCTGGCGTGGGTTTCTAAGGACGAATTCGAGTCGGGTCTCCATGACTGAAATTAATGTAGACAGACTGAGAAGGCTAGCTGACTCTCATTCAACTATGTCATCATTTGGACACGATATAATTACAAAATTAAAAACAAAACCACCTTAGAGCCAGCTGGCGAGTTTACCCGATCTGGCCCGCGTTGCTTCTCTAATGGGCAGGACCAGCGCCATGCTTGGCCAACTGCGCCTTGGCCGGCCAGGGAGGCGTGAACCGGGGCTCCGGCCGCCCTCACCACCCTTCCACCCCGGTTCCGCCGAGCTCGGAGCCAGGGGCAGGCACCGGCTCCCTCAACCTGAACAACGGGCCTCAGTCGCAGAGGAGGAGCTCGGGGAGGAGCAAGGGTGTCCCGTCTGCCGCGGCCCGGAGGTCCCACGACCCGGCCCCGAGTCCGCGGCTGCCGCCTTCCCCGCTCCCCACGTGACCCCGCCCGGGGACCTCTCGCCGCCCCGCTCTCACCCGTGGGGATGCCCAGCTGCTTGGAGCCGCGGCCGAAGCCATGCACCACTCGGCCGCGGCAGAAGTAAGGCAGATGCCTCATAACGCAGTCCGCTAGGGGCATGGGCGGCGGCCCGGTCCGCGCGTCCTGTGGAGCCGCCGTCGACCCGGGGCCTGGACCCCGGACCAGCCGCGGGGCAGGAGTGAGAGCTCTGCCTGCCGCGGGGCGCACCAGGGGCCGGGCGACGCCGACGACACGCCGCGGCGGATCCCTGACGTCGCCGACCCAACAAAACCCGCCCGGTAACTCCGGAGCCGCCTCTCGGCGAGGTAGCAGGGGCGACAACTGAAGTAAATGCCGGTGTAGGCGGGGCGTGGGGAAGGGGCGGCCCGACGCCCAAAGCCCGCCTCCGCGCCGCCGGCGCGCGCTCGCTTCCGCGGCGGAACGCCCGCGCCCGTGCAGCTTCCGTAGCCCCGCCTTCCCACCGTAGCCCCGCCTTCCCACCGTAGCCCCGCCTTCCCACCGTAGCCCCGCCTCGCCGGGGCCACGCCTTGCTCCCGCCGCGGCCCGGGGGCCTTAAGGTCTGGATCCCGGGCTTCGCTTCAGCCCCAGGCGATAGGAACTAACGTGGGAACCCCATTTTCAACTGAGATCTGCGAAAGCACCATTCTCAATTCTGGGTTTTCTTCCCCTTCCTCCTGTTCATAACAATACGGACGCCCAAGCGAGACGCTCTTTAGCTCCTTGGCAACCGCTGTGTTTAACGTCAGGCATCGCTCAGTTCCGTTCGCTCTTTAAACGTTTATTCAAGCTCCAAAATCCAGCTCAAAGATCGCCTCTTCACAGAGGCTTTCGCTGGCCGCCCTACCGGAAGCGGTCGTCCTCCTCCCGGACCACTGGCCACGTTCTGCAGTTACTAACATATTCGAATGTAAGCTCCAGGGGAGCAGTCCCTGTCTGTGACGCTGTTAACCCCAGCGACTAGTGGGGGGTGGCCGAGATGGGCGGCGACTGTCCCCTGCACGCTGTCTCCTAGACGACTTCACAAGCCCGGTGACAGGCTGTCCGTCTACTGCAATGCACACAGAGGCCTTCCGCCCCTCGGAGCTGCAAACATGCACGCGCCCTGGGAAGTAGCTCAGCTGCAAACATGCACGCACCCTGGGAAGCAGCTCAGGGATCACTCACAGGATAGGCAGGGTGCAAAGTTATACGAAGGTGCATCCTCCTACTTCTCAAGGACAAAGACTTTTTTAATTTATTTTTAAAATTTTTAATCAATGGAATCCAAAGAAATAAGTTTAATTGTTCTTTTCTTTTTTGCTCTATACATTTGCATAAAATTCTGTCCAGACCGTGTGGTCTTCTTTCTACCTTCCATGTCTGTAACTCTGATCATGTTTACCTGATACTAAATTTATGTTCTAGGCCAGGCGCGGTGGCTCTTTCCCAGTAGTTTGAGAGGCCGACCCGGCAGGATTGATTGAGCCCACGAGGTGGAGGCTGCAGTGAGCTGTGATCCCAGCTGTACCCCAGCCTGGGCGACACAGTGAGACACCACCCCTTGAAAGAAATAGAGAAGAGGAAGTAAAGGAGGGAAGGGGAAGGAAAGGGGAAGGGATTGTGAAAGGCAGGGGAAGGGAAAGTGAAAGGGAAGGGAAGGGAAGGGAGAGAAGGACCGAAAGAAGCAGTTATGGGCAGTTACTTATCTATACAGAATTAAAGAATAGTGACAATAACGGTAACAGTAATACCGGTAGTAAGAGTAGTAATAGCAAGTTATGAAAAGCAATTAAATTATCTGGAGAGACTTAAGAGTTATTTTAACAAGGTCTTTACAGTATTCTCTCACTCTTGACTCCCATCCTTGATAAGATTATGCTGCATTCCTTCTTATATAGGGAGGGTGTCGCTCACATGGTAATTTCATCTGCTTTTAAGAAACAGAGGAGAGGTCAGAATGATTTTCTTGTATCTACTGTTTTTCAAGTGCTTTTAATGCAAAATAGTCAATATGCCAGAATGACATATTTTTAACTTCTTCATCAGTGGCACACCAAATAAGAAAAGCCTGGAGGTGAGAACTTGATAAATCATCCCTGGGTCTTACTCCACTAAGCCCTAGGTTCCAAGAAGGTATGAGAATTAAATGAGATAAAATAATTAAATGGGTCATAGGAGATAAATGAGGAGGGGTAGTTTTAAGAATTAATAGAATGCTAAGTACTTTTCACACTGTCTCATGTAATCCTCTCATCAGCTTTGGAGAAAAGCATTAACCTAAACTTATAAAAATGGACAGGGCATAGTGGCTCACACCTGTAATCTCAGCACTTTGGGAGACTGAGGCAAGAGGATCTCTTGAGCCAAAGAGTTCAAGACCAGCCTACGTCAAATAGGGAGACTTCTGTCTCTACAAAACATTTAAAAATTAAAATTAGAAAGAGAGAGAAGAAAAAGAAAAAAGAAATGAAAAGAAGGGGAGAAAGTAAAAAAGAAAAATTTAAAAATCGGCCGGGTGCGGTGGCTCAAGCCTGTAATCCCAGCACTTTGGGAGGCCGAGGCGGGTGGATCATGAGGTCAAGAGATCAAGACCATCCTGGTCAACATGGTGAAACCCCGTCTCTACTAAAAATACAAAAAATTAGCTGGGCATGGTGGTGCTTGCCTGTAATCCCAGTTACTCAGGAGGCCAAGGCAGGAGAATTGCCTGAACCCAGGAGGCGGAGGTTGCGGTGAGCCAAGATCGTGCCATTGCACTCCAGCCTGGGTAACAAGAGCGAAACTCCGTCTCAAAAAAAAAAAAAGAAAGAAAAGAAAAAAAAAGAAAAATTTAAAAATCAGCCAGGGCCAGGCACAGTGGCTCACGCCTGTAATCCCAACACTGTGAAGGCCAAAGCTGGTGGATCACTTGAGCTCAGGAGTTGGAGACCAGCCTGGGCATCATGGTGAAACTCCATCTCTATAAAAAATACAAAAATTAGCCAGGAGTGGTGGCACTTGACTGTGGTCCCAAATACTCAGGAGGCTGAGGCATGAGAGTCACTCGAACCTGGGAGGCAGCAGTTGCAGTGAGCTAGAGATCACACCACTGCACTCCAGCCTGGGTGACAGAGCAAGACTCTCAGCTAAGTGTTGGTGGCTCCTGCTTATAGCCCCAGTTACTTGGGAAACTACGGCATGAGGATCACCTGAGCCCCAGAATTTGAGGCAGCAGTGAGCTGTGTTTAAACCACTGCACTCCAGACTGATAACAAAGCGAGACACAGTCACTAAAAAATAAATAGGCCAGGCGCAGTGGCTCTCGCCTATAATCCCAGCGCTTTGGGAGGCCGAGGCAGGCAGATCACCTGAGGCTAGGAGTTCCAGACCAGCCTGGCCAACATGGTGAAACCCTGTCTCTATAAGAAAAATACAAAAATTAGCTGAGCATGGTGGTAAACGCCTGTAATCCCAGCTACTTGGGAAGTTGAGGCAGAAGAATCACTTGAACTCAGGAGGCAGACGTTGCAGTGAGCCAAGATTGCTCCATTGCACTCTAGCCTGAGCAGCAGAGTAAGACTCCATCTCAGTAAAGAAAGAAATAAATGTATGAAAAAGGAGAGATTTGTAGAATGTTTAAGATGGGGCAGTCAGGCTCCAATCTTTTAAACTACCATTTACATGTAAAGTCATGTGTAATTACTGTGTAATCAGCATAGGATATAGAAGAAAGAATTCTTTTTTTTTTTTCTTTGAGACAGTCTCACTCTGTCACCCAGGCTGGAGTGGCGTGCCACAATCTCAGCTCACTGAAACCTCCACCTCCTGGGCGCCAGTAATTCTCCTGTCTCAGCCTCCCAAGTGGCTGGGTTTACAGGCGCCCACCACCATGCCTGGCTAATTTTTTGTATTTTTATTAGAGACAGGATTTCACTATGTTGGCCAGGCTGTTCTGGAACTTCTGGCCTCAAGTGATCTGCCCTCCTCATCCTCCCAAGAAGGAAGAATTCCAATCATTTTCCACCACTACTCAGTAGCCTTCAATGGCTCCTCCCCTCTCAGTGAAGAATAAAATAACCCTCCAAAAGTTGTACTTCTAAGAACTCCCATCAAGTACTTTATCTGTTGATCAAAGCAGACCCTCCACTTACTTCAGAGGCCAAAGAATATGCTTAAAATAATTCAAATAATCATTCTGTGAGCTATAGGATTTATTATTTTAAAAAATATGCTACCTAGCATTCTCAGTAAATCTAGAGTTGAGAAAGTATGTGTCTTTGCCAAACTTACTGCTTTTAACCAAGGAAGTATTCTAAGAATGCTTTTTATTTCCCTCTCTGAACTGCATGTGTACATTCCTTTATCTTCCTGTAGGGAAAGAGTCTAGCTACTTCTCTAATTTGGTTTTCTCTGTAGAAAGATCACAAATGAGACCAAAGAGGAAGTAGAAGTGGCAAACATGTGAAGGAAAAGAGGGCCCATGCTAAGTGTAAGCAATAAAAAATAAATCTGAAGAATTCTTAAAATTTAACAATAAGGAAATAAGAAACTGAATTAAAAATGGGCAAGAGATCTGAGTAAGCATATGAAAAGATGTTCAACACTATGTCATTGAGGGAATGTGTTCTCTTTCCAGGTCCACCAGCGGACGAAGTTTTAAGGGCAGGAAGTTCCCAGCACCATGCCCACCACCCCCCACTCCCCACCCAGGAGATTTAATGGTTTTTGTTTTAATTTTTAATTTTAATTTTTAATTAAATCTCCATCCAGGAGATTTAATGGTTTTTGTTTTAATTTTCCTGGGCGCATGAAGAATCAAAAGTCAGTCACTCCAGCAGAAGTTCTAGGGAACTCCTTTCATTGGTCAGGGGTCTTGGAGAAGGTGAGGGTTCCTCCCAGGTTAAAAGTCCCCTTCTTCTACAGCCCTTCAGTCTCCATGTTTGGATCACCTTCCAGGAACACTCCCTTTGTGGAAGCCATCTTTCTCTCTCCTGGATTCTCCCTCTGGAGTCCCCTTCCACACTCTCTCGTGGAAGCCTCTCTTCCCCTCCTAAACTCCATCTCTCTCTATTCCCTTCCACTCAGTGTGGAAGCTGCTTTCCTCTCCTGGATTCTCTCACTCAGTGTGAGAGGAGCTGTTCTCTGGTTTTTCCCCTCTGGGAACCCTTCCCACTCAGTTCGAGAGGCTTTTCTTTCTCTCTCCTTCTCCTTTGCCTTTCTCTACCTAAATAAATCACTTTTCTGCAAAAACCTTTGAGTCTAGTATTTACTTTACAAGCACACTGTGCCGTGGTCTCCTCTCCCATTCTTGAGAGAGTGATAGATCGAGAACCTGGAGAAACGTCCTCTCAGGGGAGCTGAGGGCTCCCCTGAACCCCTGAACCCCAACATCATGAGGGAAATACAAATTAAAACAATGAGATACTGTTGTATACCAATTAGAATGGCCAAAATTCAAAACACTGCCA